GGTATGGGGAGTTTTCTGGCCATGGACACAAAATATTGATGTTTTGTTCCCCAATCCACTTAGTTATCACGTTTGCCTTATGGCAAGGTGCTCCATCATGCTGCATTTTTCATCACTAAATTTGTTCTTGAATGGTTGAGAGAAGTAGCTTTCAGATAATGTTTTTGTACCATTCTTTGCTCATGGCTGTGTTCTTAGGCTAAATTGTGAGTGAGCCCACTTCCTTGGCTGAGAAGCAACCCCACACATGAATGGTCTCAGGATGCTTTACTGTTGGCATGACACAGGACTGATGGTAGCTCTCACCTTTTCTTCTCTGGACAAGGTTTTTGCCGGATGCCCCAAACAATCGGAGAGGGGATTCATCAGAGAAAATTACTTTACCCCAGTCCTCAGCATTTCAATCCCTTTTACCTTTTGCAGAATATCAGTCAGTCCCTGATGTTTTTCCTGGAGAGAAGTAGCTTCTTTGCTGCCCTTCTTGACCCCAGGCTATCCTCCAAAAGTCTTCTCACTGTGCGTGCAGATGCACTGACATCTGCCTGCTGCCATTCCCTGAGCAAGCTCTGCACTGGTGGTACTCCGATCCTGCAGCTGAATCAACTTTAGGAGATAGTCCCCCTGATAAATTCCCCCTGATGAAGCCACGTGACCCGGTGGTGTAACACGTAGGGGAGGGGCTCTGACGTCACAACGCTTAAAGTAACATACAGCAAGTATTTAACAAGACTGAAAAACTTTACTGTGGATTCAAATTTTAACATTACAATGCAGATTTAACTTGTAATACGTGTGAGTGCACTACTATATTTAATAAACTATGTTTTAAAAAGGATAAGGCACTATATTTTTTATTCCATGACCATTATACCTATGGAGAAAAATTCCTAAGGAAGCAAGGAGACCCCCTAGTGGGAAGAGGGATATTCCCGTCCACCTATCCGGCTCCAGGAAAACCTATAAAGAAGCAAGGAGACCCCCTGCTGGAAAGAGTGAACACTCCATTCATCCATCCATCTCAGGGAAAGAGGAATCATCCCATCCATTTTACCACTTAGCCCCATTAAAGGGGCATATGTCTTTTATGACCTCACTTAATGGTTTGGTCATATACACCAGGTGAGATTAAGGTGTACAAATTTTTCTTATGATTGGTGAACTGCACAGCTTATAGTCTTGTATCGTAGCACTGGCAGAAGTGTCAAAGACAAGGATTTAATAAGGACATGTTTGTAGCAATAATATAATTGCAGAGATCCTTATGCACAGTTGTGGAGCTGGATTGTTATTTATTTATTTACACATTTTTTTTCAATTGGTAGTGGAGCGCGACACTATTTCTTATTTTAATTTTCTGTGACACAATGATATGTGTATGTGTAGAGTGTAAGCGAACCACTAATTTTCATTTATTTATTTACACCATTTTTTGATAATTTTATTACACAGCATTGGTATTATTTTAAATAGTGTAATATACACCATAGTAGCTCACAAGACCCTACATTTCAGTATCCTAATGGGGTATACCTTCTCTCTGCTGGCCCTGTGTACCTTAATTGGGGTTGCCTTGTGACTAGTGGACTTCCCAGGGGGTGCCTTCCCTGGGTCCCTTTCCAGAGATGGAATCTCAGGAGTAAGTTTCCCCACCTGATCCACTCCTTGAGGTGGCTATTCCCTTGGGGGCTCTGTGCCTATTGACACACTGATGGCGGTCCTGGAGTCCATATATCTGAGCCTCTGGGGCATAAATTGACCGGTTAATTGATGATAGACAATTCGAAAAAATCTTAAATTACCAAAATTCCTATACAAAAAAAATAGAAAAAAAATAATAAACCACCTTCCATTATCATAAACAAGACAATGTTGTCTTAGTACCAAAGATCATGTCTAGACATCATACGCACACTCATACAGCCCACATTATGATGTATTAAGGTATTCATTTCTGCAAAAGAAACTGTATGTATCCTCCACCTAAAGGTATCCTATCAGTGAGTCTGTGAGATCATAGTGACCCATCGTCAATTAAATGACCCAGAAGTGAATAACCACACTACTGTAATAGCTCTGGGCAACCAGAATACACAACACATCTCACTCACATCTAAAAAACAAGGCATTATGACTATTAAATCTATCAAATATTGGATAATTCAGGAAGCATACAGTTGTGTTCAAAAATCAATAGCAGTCAGACATCACTATCCTGATCAATCACTGTTTTTGGTAGAAATGATATTTCTACATGGCAAATAATATACTAGCAGGTGTAGTAGAGTAATAGAAATCCAACAGTCATGACATGCATGCTGCTGATTCTGTGTAATTGAATCACTAATTGAAAGGGGCATGTTCAAAATAATAGCAGTGTGGAGTTCTATTTAGTGAGGTCATTAATTTTGTGAAAAACAGGTGGCAATTATTGCCCTTATTTAAGGAAGGAAAGGCAGCAAATGTTGTACATGCTGGTTACAGTGCATTTCTCTCTGAAATTCTGAGGAAAATGGGTCGTTCCAGACATTGTTCAGAAGAACAGCGTACCTTGATTAGAAAGTTGATTGAAGAGGGGAAAACATATAAAGAAATGCAGAAAATGATAAGGCTGCTCAGCTAAAATGATCACAAATGCTTTAAAATGGCAACCAAAACCTGAAAGACGTGGAAGAAAGCAAAAAAACTACCATTCAAATGGATAGAAGAATAGCCAAAATGGCAAGGACTCAGCCAAGAATCAGCTCCAGGAGGATCAAAGAAGGTTTAAAGTACTGTTACAATTAGAAGATCCTAAGGAGTTAACCTTGCATACCTTGGATGTTGTTTGGGCCTATATTTGTATCAGCCAGGGCTTGTCTTACCCTAGGTTCATAACTAAGCGTTTTCCCTCGCAGCGTTTTGAAGAAACATGGTACAGTCCATTTAACATGATTTCCTATGGGACATGTTCACATCTCTGCGTTTTCACCTGGTGCGCTTTTTTGAAAGGTTAGGGACTTTTTTTAATGCAAAAAGTAGCATTTTTAGTTCTATAGGCTTCAATGGAAATGCTGCAAAAAAGCATGCAGTGCGGTTTTTTTTTTTTATGCGTTTTTGCATTTTGCATTTTTAAATCTGCCTAGCAACAAGAAAAACGTGTCAAAAACGAAACGCAATGCAGAAACCGCTCAAACGCAACCTGCATAGGTGTGAAGCTAGCCAAGGGTGGTGTTGAGTTTCTTCTGTTCTACTCCTGTAGGTGGCGCTATAACTCTATGGTTAAGAATAGAAGACACTGTCCGTCAATGAACTCCGTGAAATGGATTTTATGGTAATAAAAAAAAAAAAATTTTCTAGTGCTGATCTGGGATCTGAATATTTATGCCTATATTTATTTATCATGCTTTTGTTTACAGGTGCCTCATTTTGGATCTGTGTTTCTGTATCAATGTGTAATATATTTTTTAAGTGTGCTCCATGTTATATACTTCTAAGCCCCCCAGTTACTCTTGAGTGGTTTTTCTTTTGTTTCCTTGTGCCTTGCTACACGTTCTCCCCATCTGAAAAACTGCTCTCCTCCCCTGGCAAAGCCCTGGAAAAAAACGCCTGAGCTTGATACACGTGCAAAAATGCCTAGGAAGAAAATCTCCACAATCACCAGTAATACACTCTACTCAGGTTTGAATGCAAGCTAAATTACTTTCATATGGGGCGGCTCCACTCCCATACAGCAGGGGTTCATGAGCAGATCCCCCTGCTGAATTGGAGCTGATCAAGGTAAGTTATTTTTTTTTTTTTTTTAGTTATTTTTTTTTCAGTTTTGTGTTATCCGTGCTTTCAGTTTTTTTTTGGTCCACATTTTGATAGTGAATTGTGGCAGACACGTTGGATAGATGGGCTGCCAGGTGTAAACAGACTTGAAAGGAGTGCATCACACCCCAGATATGCACTCTTAGGTCAGGTTCTCACTAGCCAGTGCTCTGAAAAGTGTGAGGTGTTCGGAGGCAATTTTTTTTTTTTAATCCTCTGCTGAGTGGTAGTTTTATAATGGTGGCTAATACACATGAGCCCATTGATTTGAACAGGCGAGTTTGTCAGGTGGTGCTGTGGTATGTCCACACTCTCCAGTTATAACATTACTGGTTTCCAGATTAATAATTTACAACAGTCACATCAATTCTCTCCAGATTTGTTTTATTATTCAGAAGTGAGATCTTTGCTCTCCAGATTTGTTATAGTATACATAGTGATATCACTACTCTCCAGATATTTTATATTATAGAAGAGTGATATAATTTCTCTCCAAATATAAGTTTTATAGGGCTGACATCCCCTCTATCCAGATATATCATACAGGAGTGACATCCCCTCTCTCCAGATATGTTATATTATACAGGAGGGACATCTCCTCTCTCTAAATATGTTATGTCATAGGAGTGATATCACTTCTTTCCAGATACTGTATGTTATACAAGAGTGACATCGACTCTTTGTCCAGACATAAGTTATTTTATACAGGAGTGACAATGCCTCTCCAAATATAAGGTATATTATACAGTAGTGACATCATGTCAGGAACAAGGTGGCAGCCGTCAGGCTAAGACTATCTGGTTAACCACTAGCCTGCAGGGCACTTATACCCCCTTCCTGCCCAGGCCAATTTCCAGCTTTCCGCGCTGTTGCACTTTGGCAATTGCGCGGTCATGCAACACTGTACCCATATGAAATTTTTATCATTTTTTTGTGACAGAGCTTTATTTTGGTGGTATTTAATCACCTCTGGGTTTTTTATTTTTTCTTAAACCAAAAACCACTGAAAAGTTTTGGAAAAAAAAAACATTTTTTGTTAGTTTTTGTTATAAAATTTTGTAAATAAGTGGTTTTTCTCCATCACTGATGTGTGCTAATGAGGCTGCAGTGATGGACACTGATAGGTGACACTGATGAGGCACTGGTAGGTTCCACTGATGGGCATTGACAGGCATCACTGATGGGCACTGAAAGGCAGCACTCATATATGGCACTTATAGGTAGCACTGATAGGCGGCACAGACTGGCACTGTTAGGCGGAACTGATAGGCAGCACTGATAGGTGGCACTGACTGGCATTGATAGGTGGCACTGACTGGCACTGATGGGTGACACTGAAAGGCAATTCAGATGGGCACTGATATGTGGCACTGATGGACACTGAAATGTGGCACTGATGGACACTGACAGGTGGCGCTGCTGGGGCTACATAGATCATCAGGGCACACTGATCATTAGTGCTCTGATGATCTGGGTACATGTCTCCTCCGAGGAATGCCGATTACCAGCTCTCCTTTCCTCACAAGCTGTCAGATTGACAGCTTTTGGGGAGAGAAATGCAGATAACCGGCATTTCCCTGTTTACATGTGATCAGCTGTGATTGGACACAGCTGATCACATGACCGAGCAGACATCTTTGGCTCTTTCCGTGGATTGGTGATAGGCTGTGTCCAAGGGACACAGCGCAACGCCGATCGCCGCGCTCCGGGAGCTGCACATGCGCGTTGAGAAGGGGAGGACGTCATATGACGTCCTCCGAGAATGAGAGAAACCACCTTGTGTCCGTTATATTACTATATGGGGGGCGGGAGCTGGTTAATGTGTGTGCACATTTCTATGAGCATAGAAGATGGACTGCATATTCATCATTGCCCACATGTATGTATGCATGTCCACTGCCACAATGCAGCCTATTTAAAACCTGTACTCCGCACTAGTTCTCTATGGCTGTATGGTCTTCAGCCCTTTTCCTGAGATGCAGCCCTGATGCTCATCCATGATCCTGTTACTGATTCGGCTTCCTTTCTGACTTTGTTCTCGGATTACTCTGCTCACGTTTGCCAAGAGACCACCCTTGTCATCTCAGGCTCTGAATACAGGAATGTGACAGTTCCTTACAGTCAAATGGAACGAGGGGGGCTTCACCTATGAACGCTCCCTGTCAGCAACTAACAGCAGTCACCTAAGCTGTCAAGGGTCTTCCAGTTGAAGGGCTGCCTTGATTCAATGTCTCTGACCTCAAACCATTCTTCAGATGTCTCCACCCCAGCACATTTCACATCAGGAACCAATGCCTTTGCACCTATAGTAGTGGTTCCACCATTTGAGTCCTGAGTCCTGACACCAGAAAGATTCATAGGAGATTGCAGCAAGTTCTGAGCTTTCAGAAACGCCTGCCAACTTTACTTTATACTACAACTATGAACTTTTGCAATAGAATCCACGGAGGTGGGGTTCATTATCTCCCTGCTTTGGAGATGATCACAGACTTGGGCTCATCAATTGTGGGAGCAGCATAGCCCACTCCTGAACATCATGACGTCACTACGGCAAGGGAAAAGCCTTGCCATAGTGAGGTCACGCCGCAGAGGCCGCATGGAAGGCCGGCGGCCATTTTAACTTATCCCAGAAATGAGTGTATTTACATGCTCTGCAATACTTATGGTATTTCCATTTCTACAAATAAAAATACTACACTGTCAGCACTTTATTCTCGAACGAGCCTCCAAGGTGGAGAGATCCCTGTTTTTCCTGAGTTTTATCCGGTTGTCTGAAAGTTCCGTGGAGATGTCCCTGAATGCTGAGAGGATCCTGTGAGAGAGGTCTGGAGTTACCTAGTATTGTGACCGTATGCCAGATGATTCCACCATCCTTACCTATATCCAGATGACCACAAAAGGATAATATATACACACATGCGCTTTCATTTTGCGCTTCTGGTGAGTGCAATCACATTATCAGTTCCAGTCACGGATTTCACCGACATGGATCACCTGAATGTTGGACTTTATTTCACTGTTTTATGTCAATAATTCAATAAATCACTCAAGTCACTTTACATTTATATTTATTATATTTATTTTCACTTGCTGATACGTTGTCATTGGACGATTCATGTTATACTCATCACCTATAGCGCTATAAATCGCTTGCACCAGTCACTTTCATTTTTCCTTTTCTTAGCGCTGCATATCTGTATACACCGTTCCAAATTATTATGCAAATTCTATTTAAGTGTCACAAAGATTAAATATTTTGTTTTTCAGTTTAACTCATGGATGGCATTGTGTCTCAGGGCTCTTTTGATCACTGAAAACAATCTCGGACACCTGTGATGATTAGATTGGCAAGGTGTAGAGTCCTCCAGAGTCTTGCAACTGTGCATAAAACCTTCTATTCGGCCACCATTAACCAATGCTCACAAGCAGAAACTGCTGCATTGGGCAGAAAACTACATGAAGACTAATTTTCAAACAGTCCTGTTCACTGATGAGTGCCGTGCAACCCTGGATGGTCCATATGGATGGAGTAGTGGATGGTTGGTGGACAGCCAACCTGTTCCAACAAGGCTGCGACGTCAGCAAGGCGATGGAGTCATGTTTTGGGCTAGAATCATGGGAACAGAGCTGATCGGTCCCGGTCCCCAAAGGTGTAAAGATGACCTCTGCAAAGTATGTGGAGTTTATGACTGACCACTTTCTTCCCTGGTACAGAAGGAAGAACTATGCTTTCCGTAATAAAATCATCTTCATGCATGACAATGCACCATCTCATGCTGCAAAGAATACCTCTGCATCAATGGCTGCTATGGGGATAAAAGGAGAGAAAGTCATGGTGTGGCCTCCATCCTTCCCTGACATCAATCCTATTGAGAATCTTTGGAGCATCCTCAAGCAAAAGATCTATGAGGGTGGGAGGCAGTTTACATCCAAACAGCAGTTCTGGGAGGCTATTCTGACATCTTGCAAACAAATTCAAGCAGAAACTGTCCAAAAACTCACAAGTTCAATGGATGCAAGACTTGTGAAGCTGCTATCAAATAAGGGGTCCTATGTTAAAATGTAACGTGACCTGTTAAAATGTTTAAAAAGTTAAAATGTTGTTAAATGTTTGATTGAAATAGCTTTTTTAATTTCAGAAAAAATCTTCCTGCGCTGATAAGGAAGTTTGCCCTGATCGCTAGTAGCTAACACTCAAACCCGATAACCAATCAGTATGTCAAATGTAAAAAATATAGTGTAGCACTTCAAACTAAGAATAAATAAATGATAATGTGCAAAAAAAGTACAAATAATAAAGTATCACAATCATTATTGTGACCAGTGAAAGTGATGAGAATATATACATATAACGCAGTGACAAACAATAATAGTGCTGGGGTCACCTTAGTGACCTATACAAGTGACACACAAAAATTGAATGAATAAAGGAAACTTGATAGTGTCACTTCAAATCTCATAAATAGATTGTTGATAGATACATATTGTTGCAATTCATGGACTATTAGAGTGTTTATTTATGAGATTTGAAGTGACACTATCACGTTTCCTTTATTCATTCATTTTTTGTGTGTCACTTGTATAGGTCACTAAGGTGACCCCAGCACTATTATTGTTTGTCACTGTGTTATATGTATATATTGTCATCACTTTCACTGGTCACAATAATGATTGTGTTACTTTATTGTTTTTACTTTTTTTGCACATTATCATTTATTTATTCTTAGTTTGAAGCTCTACACTATAATTGAAATAGCATTTGATTTCAGTAAATTTGCTGCAAACACAACAAATGACAATTTTCAGTTCTTTACAACCTATAAAGTGTTTTGAAACTAACTGTGCGTAATAATTTGGAACAGTGCATTGTAAGTTTTTTCTGTTTAAAAAAAAATACTGTTATTAGGAGGTTTGTTCAATAAAATTTGAATTGTACTCTTAATAGTTGATAACATGAGAATTATGCTGACTGTTATTTACGTCAATTAATTAGGTAAATGAGAAAAATATAATTTGCATAATAATTTGGAACAGGGTGTATATGCCTATAGAACTGCCTCACTTCACCCCTCTGTTGCTTCATCCTTGAATCAGAGTCACACAACTTTGTTAGACAGGTCTACCACAAATTCATAGATGTCTTTGACAAACAATACTGACATTCTTCCAACCCATCGAACGTATGACTGCCTCATCGAACTACTGCCTGGGGCAGAAATTCTGTTTAATAGATTTTTTTCATTGTCAGAGCTTGAACTTGCAGCATTTAACAGAGTATATTCGAAGAGAAACTCAGAAGAGGGTTTATTCATTCTTTCCCTTCTCCAGTCAGAGCTGGAATTTTCTTTGCAGAAAAGACAGACCACTCCTACAGTTAAAACCGCTTAGAACTTCTTCAGAGACTTACCAAACTTAACCTGTGGGGTGCGTACAATCTTGTCAGGATCAAAGAGGGTTATGAATGAAAGATGGCCTTCTGAACCATATTTCTGCCACTTCGAGTATCTTGTTATGCCATTTGGACTCACAACACCAAAGCCAAGGGCCCAAATCTCTGATGCACCCAGTGGTATTTTTTACATACAGCAGAGGAAACTATAATGTTGGTGATCGTGAACTTCTGATGAATAAATTAGCATTGGAAGAATGGCACTACCTACTGGATGTAGCAGCTCACCAGATAATTTTTACAGACCACAAGAATTCAGAGTACCACAGAGCTGCAAAATATCTAAGGCCTTGACAGGCAAGGTGGGCATTCTTTTTTTACCATTTAATTTCCACATAACATACTGGTTGTAGTCTAAGTATGGTAAACCTGCGGCCCTATTCTGCATGTCCTTTGAGTCTGAGGACCCTATGAAGCAAGATACCATTCTGCAAACCAGAAACTACCTGTTGATGAAACCTGACCTCATGTCTCAGATTTGGCAGACATGACTGGAAGATCCTTTGCCTCAGAGTATAAACCTGCAGGCCCCCCCACCCCTATGGGTGAAAGGTCTTTGGCCTTTTATATGTCTTTTGTATTGTGCTTTACCTTTACGAATAAAATGTTTGTAAACGAAAAAGAAGTTCCTCGACAGAAAGAGAAAGGGAGAATTGGATCTGAATCGTGGTGATCATGTGTGACTCTCCACCATCAATTTAAAACTGGCCGGTGCTTTAAAGAAGTTGGGACCTAGATACAGTATATTGGGCCATTCCCCTTTAAAAGAAGTATTAATACAGTGGCCTATGAAGTAAGACTCCACTCATGCTGAAAAAAAACACATTCATCACTGCTCACATATGTATGAGCATGTGAACGTGCAGATGTGCTTGCACATCCAATGCGACCAAGCGACCCATTTAAACCTGAATTTTGCACTAGTTCTTTGATGTATAGTTTTCAGCCTCTTTCCTGTGATCCAGTCTTGATGCGCATCCTTGATCCTGTTACTGATCCAACATCCTTTCTGACCTCTCAGATACCACTACTGACCACGCTTCTGCCTAGTGACTCTCTACCTCACTGTCCAATTGTTGCTAGCTTCTGGCTGTTTCTGACTCTGGTTCTGCTTACGTCCATTTGCCCTTCCACTCGACTGTCACTTAACCTCTTCGAGCCAGCGGTACTCATATATGCGGGCTTTCGGTGGGTGGACCGCATATATGCATACTGTAC